ACTCAGCCAACAAATTCTAGCTGACATCAAGGAGCGCTATTAAAGAAAAGTGCATACTGCCACTTTAAACTCCCATAAAGACCTTTAACCAAGATTCATGGTTTGTCCAAAGCTTTAGGTGTCATCCAGATGCAGACAGATTGCCCTTTCAAAGTAGCACCAACTAGAATCTGAAGTTGATTCAAGGGATGTTGTTGAGGAGAAAACAGAAAGAGGAAGTATTATGTAGGTCGCCTTGAGTTGCACAAAATAATGAGGGAATATCCATCTAGTAAATGAATAATGAATAATGAATAATGAATAATGAATAATGAATAATGAATAATGAATAATGAGCCTTGTTTATGCAAGGCTCAACCCTACAATATTCAAAGCCTTCAAAATGATGGGGCCCGTCAGCACTCTCCCAACATTGGGAGGGCTAGCCTAGCTATATGGTAAAAAGTTTACTGTGGCCAGCTGTAAACATATTTTCCAGACCAAAAACTGGCCAGGTTATTCTGGCCATATCCTCTCCCTCCTGAGAATGCTACCCCCCAAGTTATCTCTTTTTTGGGGGGGGGCACGTGATACACGCCCAAAGAAAGCGCGGGGCTGCAATTAGCCACTGTTTTTATTCTCTCCAACCCAACAAAATGTTGGGAGGGGGAAGTTACGGAAGGGTTTCGGGACCCTGTCTGCCCATCAGCAGGCTCTCTCTCCAAAAACAGAACAGAATTGGACCAGATTTGATACCAACAAAGAAAGCCTGCTTTCGAAAACGGGCCAGCCCCAGCCAGAGGCTGCAAAGAAAAACACGCCCACCATCACTGCAGCCCTGGGCAGAGGCTCAGAAGGTCGCCGGTCCTTCTGCTCCGAGCCTTTCTCCTTCCCCGCCACGTGACCCTGACAGTCAATCCGGCCCAGCTGCGCTTCCCATGTGCCTAAACACCCAAGCACACCCGGGGGGAGAGCAGAGATGCACACCCACTCGTGCAACCCATGAATGCCCAGAAGAATAAGCAGATGCCTCCCATAAGCCACTGCCGAGAACGAATTTGGAAAGAATTCTCTTGTTCGTTTCGGAAGGATGCCAAAACATTTTTGGGAACCCAGGGGACGCCGTTAGACGAAGCAGCAGAAAGCCAGTTTCTCCCTGAATTTTAACAGAAGGAATGCCCAAATAGCTATATCAAATCAGATAAAGCCAAGGCACCCGTAAGCTTATCTGTCACTCGGACAGCATCTGGCCGACCCCTCTGCTTGTCCATTTCAGACCCCTGCCTTAATCTGGATGCTTTAGATAACTTTTAAGTGAAACTGAAACTGTTTCTGGTTAGGATTAAGGCTGGCTTTAATTTTCCTTAGGTTTTTGTCTTATCCATTCACAGGTTTTTTGTTGCTGCTGCTACAATGTATTTTTTTTTTTTTTCCTGGCTTTAGGAAATGAATTTGCTGCTGGTTTGTTTCAAAGAAGCCTTGAGTCATTGTTTACCAGATAAAACAGGGTAAACATTAAGAAATACAAAAGCGTGAGCATGTTATTCTACGTTGCGCAGAAAGGCAAATACGAACACTTAGAAGATGGTTTCTAAAGTTTACATCAGTACGTACTGCAAACTGGTTAGAGAACGAAGGAGGAGGAAGTCAGAAATTAAATATTTACCCAAGTTATTTTTAAGGGTGTTTTCTTTTTTCCTTTTTGTCCTCTTTTTTTTAACATGTATAAATAACAATCTAGTGGAGATTGTGCTATGAAGCTCAGAAAGTATATTTCTTTTTTAATATCATAAAAACCACTCAGTGTAACCTGCTTGGTATCTCTTACTAATGTTATAAGGAGCATCAGTTGTATAACTTCAGGAATTATCTGTCCACCTACAGATATTAACTTTTTTGAAAATATATCTTTAATTAATGAAATTAAAAAGAGAGAGAATGTTATTCTTTCAGTGAAATTGCTGGAAATGATCATGCTTGGAAAGGTCTATGGAAGGTCCGGTGAACTGTTTGTGCTAGAATAAGGCTCAGTGGGGTAAAGACAACTTTATCTTCATGGCACTTGAGATTTTGTTTTAAGAAAATACCTGAAATACTAGGATTACATTAGGGTGAGCAAACCATGGATTATGATAACTAAAAGCCATCATTCCCTTACTTTTGTAGGTGGGCCTCCTGGCAGCTGGAGTTCACCAACATCTGGAGGCCCCATCACTGAGCTTCATTAATGGGCTGCCAGATTTGCTTGTAGCATCATCTTCACCATTGGGAGAACCATCTTTTACTCTCCTGACCTGTTGGATTTCAACTCCCATCAGCCTCAAACAACAGGATCAATGGCAAGGGATTGTGGGATCAGTAGTCTCAAAACTCAATGCCTTAGCCTTGTTGCTCAGTCTTGGCAACTGCCAGATGTGTGGCCTTCGACTCCCAGAATTCCCTGACATGGCCATTTATGGGAGTTGATATCTACACATCTGGAAGTCACCAAAGTTGGGAAACTGTTTTCCCCCAGAAATGCTCCCTTGGCAGAAATGGGGGGAAAAAACCTTTGTATGAACTTTTTTTTCAAGAATATCCACTTTTAGTTCAGATTATCATCATTTCTGTACCTTATTAGGCCACCTCTCTTTATCTTCAAGGTTGCTCGGACCAATGCACACCAAAAAAAGTCTTCAAAATAATGGATAAAACAATCTAAACAACCTGCACAGCTCAATTGTTCAAACTGACCAACTGATCAAATTATTTGGCATATTCCATCCAAGGACCTGATTTCTGGTTAAAGGAGTAAAAATATCACACCATTTCAAGTGAAAGGTCCTATGGACAGGACCAGGTAGTGATAACTCTATGCACTCTGTCCCAAAATGTAGGGCCCCCTTCCCACCAAATGGCAGCAAGGATGGTTGGAAGTAGCCCTGGGGACCATAAAAACAGGGTATAACTGCCCCTGTCCAACGTGGGGCTTCAAGTGGCCCATCCCTCAAATTTCACTGCAGTTTCAACTCCTTCAGAACCCACAATTTAATCTTCCTCTTTCCACGGCTTCTTTGTCCTTGCATGACTTTCTACACAGGCCGCATCCTAATGATTGACAGTTCCGCTATCACCAAGTTAAGACTAAAACAAACTCCAGACTTGTTTAACTTCATGCCCTTTCCCACAGATCTCCCTTTGGCCTCAGTTCTGTTTGGTTTTATGCACCTGGCCACAGTGACTGTTTCTGCGCAACCTGAAAGCCGGCATGCTACCCTGGAGATTCCGGTTGGACCAATGAAAACCATTTTACTAATAGTACGGACTCTGGATGGCACACATCCCCCACTGGAAAACAGAAAGTTGGCTGAAATACCTGCTGGTAAAAATTTAAAAGCCCAAGTGCCTCCTTGCCCAAAGAAATGATGTTGCTAGAAAAATAGCTGGGAAACAACCAACCCTAGCTTCCTTTCCCAGAGCGATGGAGACTTCTCAAGGGTCCACCTCTCCTGAAACTTGACTTAGCGTCTCTCAGTGTCTCCAAAAGGCTATTACAACGACCACCAAACTCTCATTTTAACTGAGACAGAAAGGGGAAATAATTAAACACCGGGGGAGTAGTCATATTAACTGGATTTAATTTAAGTTGAAGCTTAAATGGAAATTAAAATCACAGCTGCTGTTTCGCTCTGCCTCCCTCCCCACATTGTCCTGGTTCTGCCCCCTTTTGCAGAGCATCTCCCCCCCCATTCTCAAACATCACTCCAACAAGACAACGTGCAATGCACTGCTCCCAAAACAGCTGTAAATCCCTGCTGCGGATAAACATAAACCATTTAACAAGAGGCCATGTGCTCACTGTATCCTTGACTAAGAAGCTAAGGATATTTTCACTGGCTTCAGGGGATCCAGAGAGTTTGGCCAAAAAAGTCAAGGTGTCCATTGTTGCACATAAGGAATGGGCAGAGCGTCAACTGAATCATCGTGAGTGCCATTTTGACTTTTTTGACCATACCCTCTGGACCCCCCTCACTGGCTTTAAAGATCTGAACATGCTGTTTTCTTCATCTAAGAAAGTTATATAAACCAATGGAATTTGTGGCTGGCCTATTGCTACTCCATGCATTGTACGAGTGCCTTGGGGCAAATATTGGCAATCTATATTTATGTACAGCAATTTCTGCAATTTCTGACGATGAGGAGCGGTCTGGCATAACGGCTTAGCACGAGCAGAAAGGCACCTGGTAACATTCAACTCACATTCCTAGGTTACTCATTTAACTGGGGGAGAAACCAGCCCACACATTTCATCTATTGGCCCTGAAGGAGCTTCCCCAGGAAGACCCTCTTGGCACCAGCCTCGTTGTCTTTCAGGAGACCAGAAAAGAAATTTGGATTCTCTCACGTATTTGAATGCTAGGTCTGGTCTTGTTTCTCTCCCCACCTTGTAACCCAGCCTAGCCTCTTGGCTAAAGAGAGAGAGAGAGAGAGAGGCCAATTTAAAAATAAACATTGGCCCAGCTAAAAAGCAGGGAGTGCGAAGGAATTCTTGGCTAAAATAAAAAACGGGCTCCCGTTTGGATACAAATGGCCATTACGGTTCCTTGTCCGTATATCTACCAGCCTAGGCTCACCTGATTTATTGTTTGAACTACAACTACTGTATTTGCATGGGCAGCTACAGAAACTGCATAAATGAATAAATAAAATTATGTATTTATTTATGCAATTCCTCTAGTCGCCCGTCTCAGTCCAAGTGACTCTGGGTGGCGTCTAGGTGGCGGTGGCTGATGGCAGTTGTAGTCCGGACAATCGGGAGGAACAGGCTTTGCTGCACAGCCCCTTACCTGCATCATGGTGGCCAGATGGCAAGGGTTGAGCAAGTAGATGACCGTTCTGGAAGCAAATTTGAATCCCACTTCAAGCCCAAAGGTCAGGCAGAGGGTCACCAGCAAGATGTTTTTCCCCCAGCTTTCCTCCTTGACCCGGGACTGGGCCAAGAGTTCAGCAGCCTCCTTGGCCGTGCTCCGGCCGATCTTCCGCAGGGAGACCACCGTCTCCAGGAGGCCCACGGCCATGAAGACCACGCTCTCCAGCAGGCGCTGCCGCCAAGGGAGGAAGGCGGCGCATTCGGGGCCACCGTTGCCTGCAAAGCTGGGGTCCACCCCGCCGTACATCCAGTCCATCAGGTTGGAGAAGCTGTAGCGACTCATGGTCCCGGGGGTCTCCCCGCCTTGGCTGGCCGGGAGCTGGGGGCTGTCAGAGAAGATCAAGGCGAGGACACTGTCCAGGGGGCGAACCATGAAATGCCAGGAGACCTTTCCCCACAGGCTGCCTGCCCCCTTTCCTCTTGCAGGCCAGGACGGAGGGCCAACGTTGCTTCAGAAGCCCCCGGGAGGGGGGGAGAACCTGGGAAGAAAAGGGGAGAAACCGAATTTAGCCAATGACCTTTCCTGATCGTCTTTCCCCAGCCTGGCACCACCGACCCCCAGACCGGTTTTGAGGGCAGCCCAGTTTGGCACCGCCTGGACTACACCTCCCATCCCCCCAAACAGCTGGGCCAGGCGAGCACTCCAAGCACCCCTCCCCCCACAAAGGTGGGCCCAAAGCCCCCCTCCAGCTCTGGCCGGGCCGGAAAGCGGCTGTGCAAACTCTTTCGCAGCTGCTGGCCAAGGAACCTGGGGGGGGGGCGCCGTTCACAACGCCCCTGCGAGGGAGGGCACTTCGGGAGCAGCGGGGAAGGGAGAGGCGGGAGAAAGAGGGAACAGAGGAAAGAGCGGGGCGAGACCCTCCGCGTGTTTCCCGCCAGCGCTGCGGGGCCCGCAGGAAGACCCTCCCCCGCCTTTCCTGGAAGCTGCCCCCAAAGGCTGGAGGGGGAGCGGAGGGGAGGGGAGGGGAGGG